GCATAGGACCATGTGTGCAGCCGGTAAGAACTTTTTTTTAATTATTATTTATTTAGGTCGTGCATAATTTAACAGACAAATTCGCACAGCCACAACAGCTAGTGCTATTAGAATAATAAACATTTTTTAACAGTGGAATGGCTTCTCATACATTGCACATTTTTTTGTTTTTCCCGATTGGTAGAGGGTTAAGCAAATAGCTGGAAGTACTTGCCCATATTAGCTGTGATAACCTGTCATCTATGCTGACTACCCAGTTAGGTTGGGGGTGAGTGTGACATAGAGTATGCTCCTATGTGAGTGGAGTATAGCCTGTGCTTGGTATGTTAGATGTGTGTGGTACATTTTGGGCAGTACTTTCATATATAATAATTTTGCTTGGCTACTTCCTCAAAGAGGACGCTTATTTCGTGCTATGTATTATTGTTACACCTGGTATTGTGATTTAGATCGGGGGGGCCTTGAGAAAATCAAGTCAGGTGGGAGGGAGAGTATTATGGTCAACAGACCAGCCGGTCAGTGGGGTACATGTAGTATAACTAGATAAACTAACATCTAGCCAAGGGGGGCGGAGCGATGATGTGACGACGCACGCCGGTCACGTCACGCGGGTGGTGAAGGGAAGGAAACAAGGGAGTAAGGACAAAAGCCGCGAGATACCCGGAGCTAGGAGACCATGGCGGCAGACAAACAAATATTGATCCGATAGCACGGGAGGGTTTTGCGGCTGGCTGGAAAGTCAAGAAATGAACCCTGTACTAATGCTGGAGCATGCAGAAATGGAGGAAAAACCGAGCATAAACTGAATTCAATACTCTAGGAACAGCAAACTAAAAGTGACAGCACAAAGGATTGCAAACACAGCGGAACGCAAGTACAAAAGACAAGTTTTTGCACTGTGTATATATCGATAATTTATATGTATCTGGCTGTCGATAAGTTTATGCTGATATAAAGAGGGATGAAAGATTTTATTGGAGGAGATGTAAAGGTGTGGTGTATATAAATATAAACGGTTGAAAACCTGTTGGTATTTGGAGTAAATTGAGTAATCTCCTACCGCATGAAATTTCAAGGAGGGGTCAAGAGGAAAACTATTTAAATTTAACCCCTTAAGGACAGAGCTTCAGAAGCTTGTCTTTCACTTAATGACAACTGCATTTTCTTCATTTTTTGCTGTTTGCGTTCAGCTTCAATTTGCATTTTACTAATTTATTGCACCAACACATATTATATATCGTTTTTTAAAGGACAGAAAGGGCTTTAATTTGATGTAAGACATATATATATATATATATATATATATATATATGCTTATTTATTATAAAAAAATACAGAAAAATAAAAAAAATGAAATTTTTTTGTTTTGTTTACAGTTTTTGCAATAATAATGTGTGCATAATTAGTGCAGGTTAAGAAAAGTAATTAAAAATAAATTAATTTAGTTGTTCTGATTTACAGAATATATAATGTGTCTGGGATTTTAAGTTCTTTTTTGGTAGTTACAGGTCACAAAGCATAATGAGTAAAATAAACTTTTAATGTGGAGCGATTTTAGAATTTGGTATGTTTGTCTTGTAAGCTTAAAAGCCATAAAAGAAAACAAAATTGCCACACAAAAGTATGTATTTATATAAAATAGACATCACAGGCTATTTATCTAGGGTTGTTTTGACACTTTCTACGTAGCCATTTCACTGCCAACCTCTGCTAAATATTAGAGTAAAATTGTGTTTTTTTTGGTTTTTGGCACACAAACTTATAACAAAGAAATTCTCATGTGTATTTTGTAAAGTTGGTGTGTGCTATTCCTGTACAAAGTTTTATTTTGTGTTCAGTTACATATGCTGAGTAAAATGACACCCCCATTGTATGTCTTTGGCACTATTTCGTAAAGCTACAGTGCCATATAGGAGACGAAGCCATATCAGTTTTTACCGAACTTTGAATTTTGACGCTGGGCCTATGTGCAATTTCCAAGCATCTTAGCAGGGTTTAAATTCAAACTACCCCACAAAGGCCTACCATTTCTTAAAGTAGACACCCCAGGGTATTTCAAAAGGTATATTTTGAACCTTAGCGTGGAATCATTTTTCAGCTAGCTTGTACCAAGTGTAGTGGAAATAAGTGTTTTTTCTGCCATTTTGACACGAAAAAGTTTGAGTTTGCACAGTTTTTTTTGCAAACCTTATGTGTGCTACGACTGTATAATACTTCATATGTTGCTCAGCTATGTCGGCTGAGTACAGCAATACCCCCGTATGTACCTTTGCCAGGTATATGTGGATGTTGAAGGGGCGCATTTGAGACACAGCCATTCAGTTTTTTTCTAACTTTGAAGTTTCACGCTGTGTCCATGTTCCAATTTGGAGTAGTTTAGACGGTTGGTTATTGAAACTTCCCCACAAACACATACTATTTATTAAAGAATACACCCTGGGGTAATTCAAAAGGCATAGTTTTAACCTTAGCGTGGGATCATTTTTTCTCTAGTTTGTTCCAGGTGTAGTGGTAATGAGCGTTTTTAGATGTATTTTTTTACTTTTTGAAACTTTTTTACTTTTAAAAACTGGTTTTTAAACTTTTATTTTGCTTATTAATTTTTGTAAACTTTCTTAAAACTTGTTTTACAGATTTAACATTTTTCTAAGCTTTTATTTTTACCGTTAACCCCTAACTAGCAGTAAGCAGCATTAACAGTAAATTACCCATTTCCCATAACTCCCACCCACCCCAGCTACCAAAATATATAATTATAAAATATTTAAATTAATTAATTAAATAAATTGAACCCCTGAGGGTTAAAACATTTATAAAAGTTAATCCTCAGGGGTTAAAAAAAAATAGATCACAGTATAATACTGGGATCTGTATATTGATCACTGTAGGCAGTGATTGACTGGCAGGGAAGGGGTTAATTTTTATTTGGACTGGGTAAAGGGGGATGTTTTTTATTTTTTACTTAAACGTTATTAAAACTTTTTTTAGCTTAATTTTTTACTTTTTAAAGTTTATTTTAAAACTTTTTTTAACGTTAACCCCTAGTTAGTCTAACACCAAATCCCCAAATTCCCCACTAACTTCCACCCACCCCAGCTAGCTAAATATATAATTTTAAAATATTTAAATTAATAAATTAAATAAATTTAACCCCTTAGGGTTAAAAAAAAGAATTAACCCTCAGGGGTTAAAAAAAATCAGATGACAGTAAAATGTAATCCCTGCCAATTGATTACTGTAGTCAGTGATCAATTGGCAGGGAAGGGGTTATTTTTTAATTAAAATGGGTAAAGGGGGGTGGGATTTTAAATAAACTTTTTTATTTTTTTTTAACAGGGGGCAGGATCAACACTGTTCTGGCTCCCTTCACTTCAAACAGAACCAGGAAGTGCAGGGAGGCAGAAGGTAAGTATACTAAGCACATGTGGGGCAGCACTATCGGGTGCTCCCGGTCTGCCTCTAGTACGGAGTCAGACCGGAGCACCATTAACCCCGTGATCGCCGCAATAGCGGCGATCCGTGGTTAATTTTAACGGATGACAGACGAGGTCCGTCACTCGTCGTTATGGCAATCCCCTGAGTGACGGACCTCATCCGTCACTCGGCGTTAAGGGGTTAAGCTACCATATACCTCAATGCTATCTGGATTATTTACACTCTCTAATGTTTATACACTGATTATGTATACAAGCTGAGTATAGAGGGTATGCATGGAAGTCGAAATAGACTGTATGGTCCCAAAAATTAAGCACAAGAGAAGAAGGAGAGTTAACTATTTATATATATAATATTTTTTGTTGTTGTTGTTGTTTCTTCTCATTCCATTTTTTATTGCCGTACGAGTGAGCAATAATAGCAAACAAAAAAAGTGAACCCAAGATGGGAAATTGTCATGCGGTAACACTTCCGGGTTCGGCACTCCTCTGTGCGGAGCCGGACCCCGCCCCCCTCTGACGCGGCTCTAATGGTATTTAGGGAGACCGCGCCAGAGAGAGGGTGCTTGGTGATACTGGGAGCTACTATCGCCAGACTTACCTCTCCACAGGCTCTGGCAATGTGGGTCCTACTTCCGAATATGCACGCCGGCTCCTGGGACACGCCGGCTCTACAAACTCTGAAGTCGTCCTAGCCTTCTGGACTAAGACAAGTATGCTTCATGTCATAGAGGATTACTGGAGAACGGAAACTCACTTACTTTACAAGTGGACCATATACCTGAACTATTGGAGGACTACTCATATTAACCTTAAGTATATCTTTCAGCTGTTTGTCTACAATATCATTTAATAATGAACTAATGCTTGCTTACTTAAATCTTCACTGCTTCAAGCTACTAATTATACGGAGGACAACTCCCATCATGCTTATTAACTATGAACTGTTCTTGCTTTGCAAATATTCTCAGCTACTTGCTTAATGTTTCTATTGAAGATTTTTCTCATGAATTTAAAGAATATTACTTAATGCATCTCTGAGGAAATACTTATTAATGAACTTTGTGTTGTTGATTACTTGCACTTCTTCTTATTGAATTATTGCCTAAATGCAATTCATTTAAGTTTAACACTTATTAAAACTCAGTTTGAATCAAGTTACCAGCGATTCCCTCTTTTCTTAAAGCTACAGTATTGATACTTTTAAGGTTCTCCGTTTCTTCACAATTGTAATTAGGGAGTTTTACAAGCTGCAGTTGAGTTCCAATCCAAATCACCCAAGTAGCATAACAGAAATAAAAGAGAGAAAAAGACAGATCAAAGAATTGAAAAGAGACTATCAAATTATTTTTCACCTCAAGATAAAGATAGTATGGAGAGGAGAATTAGTCTAAATGAAATAGACTCTTATAAGAAGGATACAATCCAGCCTGCGACTCAAAGGAATCCTGAGCAAGACAACATGGATTGCTCACAAAAGGATCCATGTTTGATTGGTAAAGAACATCTGAATGCATGTTTACAAGAGCAATTAGAAAATATAAAGAAAGAGATACACCTAATGATGGATGACTTTAAATTGGAGATATCCAAAATAACGGCAAAAGTTAATTCAATCGAAGATCAAATTGAGCATTCAAAAGTACAACAAGGGCTACAGGAAGAAAAGATCTTACAGATGGAAAAGAAAATTGCGTTATAGGAAGTCAGGATTACCGATAATGAAGATAGAGCAAGGAGAAATAATATCAGAATAAGAGGAATCCAGGATGAAGTGACACCAGGAGGGCTGGACGACTATTTAAAAGATTTCTAAAAATTTTGGGGAGTACATCAAAATAACAGTCTATTCTGTACAGAAAGGATCCATAGAATCCCAAACCCTAGTAATATTTCAGCTCAAGTGCCAAGACATGTCATAGCAGCATTAGGTTCATATAGACTTAAACAAGAAGTCATGACGGCAATGAGCTCTAAATCTTTACATGGCTCAAAATATGAACCAATCAAAATATTTAATGATTTATCTAGAAGTACTAGAATGAGTAGAAAGAACTTTCCACAATGTACCCTTAAATTAAGGGACCAGGGAATTAAGTATACATGGTTATTTCCAGTGGGATTAAGATTGTCATATAGAGAAATAGTTGAAACGTTTCAGGAAATTCAGAGATTGCAAATGTGGATACAGGAGAATGTTAAATAGCGTGGGCTCGGGCCTACTCCGGATTCCCCTATCCTTCTCCCTCTGAAGGGGGACGGGGAGAGGTGATCCCGGAGAAGTTCTGTACCCGCGCAGGGTCTCTTACTTATTTCCCTAATTAAAAGGTGAAAGATCTGAAATTTCTACTTTTTTTTTTTGAGGATTATATAGGAGAGATGGGTTATTCTTTATAATTAAAGGAGTAGTGGGTGCAAAAGAAAGTAAAATGAGTTAATAGTTACTATACAATTCACGTATAGAAGTTAGATATATGATTTGATTAAATCACTAAGGGAGAACAAATAGTTTAACTACAATAAGGGGCACGTTAATTATTGAAATTAGATTAAATAGAACAAATAAGGAATGATTATTCATAAATATCACTATGTAAAAGAATAAAAGTAAATATATAGAATATGATATAAGAATCAATACAATGAATATATAAGAAATATAATATTAATTATTAATGAAGAGTTTTAGAACAACACAGATAGGTTTGAGACACATACACTGTTGAAGAAATGGGGAGAAAGGAAAAAGTTGAAAGAAGTAAAGAAGGGAAGGGGAAAGGATAAAAATATAAATGTGTTAAAAAATAAAAAAAGAGGCTAACCACAATAAAATAGATTTTGTTAAAATCACCTATATAAGGCTCATTTTAAATTCAAATAAGACATTAATGGTTAAAAGGAAAAAGAATAAACACTTTAAGGTTTTTTTTTGTTTTTGTTTTTTTGTTGTTGTTTAGAGTTACATGATAAATTCCTGGTAAATTGTAAAGAGTATCCCTTCACCCAACCGTTTAGGGCGGTTAATTTTGTATATTCTTTCCCTCCTGATATAGGGGGAAGGAATACAGGGATAGGGATGGTTCTTTCAGATAAGGAACCGAGTATTTTAATGTTAAATGTAGGGGTGCAATGTAGTGTTTGCCATGTTATATGTATGTTTCCCACGCTGGAGAGAAGGGTGTTGGATAGAATGAAGACATGCTTAAGATAGCATCCTTGCATGTAAGAGGGTTAAATTCCCTGCAAAAAAGAGTTATTCTCACCAGTGGCGTACTAAGGGGTGCCACTGACTAGGGGGGTGCCATGACTTCCAGTGTCATGTGTCACCCCCCTGGCCCCCATCATTACGCTGCGCACAGCCGCAGCACCTTTGCAGAGGATGAGAAGGGGGAGGAGTGTTGCTGGACGCGGAGTGATGACGACGTACGCAGCGCAGCGCCATCAGTCCGCCTTCACGGATCTTCAGCGGAAGGATCCAAGATCCGGGTGGTGAGGCACCCAGTGGTCAGTCTCGGAGGGAAGGCATCATCAAAATGTGAGTAGTCATTTTATGGGATGGGGCTAAATTAATTAAAAGGGGGGTGTATAATGGATTAATTAAAGAATTAAAGGGGAGGGAGGTTTAATTAAAGGGGGATATGGATTAATTAAGGGGGGTGGATTAATTAAGGGGTGGATTAATTAAAGGAGGATATGGATTAATTAAGGAGGGGTGGATTAATTAAAGGGTGGATTAATTAAAGGGGGATATGGATTAATTATGGGGGGGTGGATTAATTAAGGGATAGATTAATTAAAGGATGATATGGATTAATTAAGGGGTGGATTAATTAAGGGGTGGATTAATTAAAGGGGGATATGGATTAATTAAGGGGGGTGGATTAATTAAGGGGTGTGGATTAATGAAGGGGTGTGGATTAATTAAGGGGTGTTTGGAATAATTAGTGAGACTTAATTAAGGGGGTGGGTTAATTAAGGGGTGTGGATTAATTAAGGGGAGTGAGAATTAATTAAGGGGGGTGTGGATTAATTAGTGTGGATTAATTAAGGGGTGGATTAATTAAGGGGTATGGATTAAGTAAGGGGGTGTGGATTAATTAAGGGGGGTGTGTATTAATTAAGGGGGTGGATTAATTAAGGGGGTGTGGATTAATTAAAGGGGGGGTGTGGATTAATTAGTGTGGTTTAATTAAGGGGGTGGATTAATTAAGGGGTATGGATTAATTAAGGGGTGTGTGGATTAATTAAGGGGGTGGATTAATTAAGGGGGTGTGGATTAATTAAAGGGGGGTGTGGATTAATTAAAGGGGGTGCAGGTTTTTTTTTTAATCAAGGGGGTTGCAGTATTTTATTTATTAAGGGAGGATGTGCACTGCAGATTTTAGTTTTTTTTTAATAAGGGGGTGTGCAGGGTTTTAAGGGGGGTGTGCAGGTTTTTTGTTATTAAAGGGGGTTGAGCAAGTTTTTGGTTTTTTTATTAAGGGGATATGCAGGTTTTTTTTTAAGAGGGGTGTGCAGGGTTTTTTATTAAGGGGGTTGTGCATGGTTTCTGTTTTTTATTAAGGGGGGTGTGCAGTGTTTTTTTTAATTAAGGGGTGTGCAGGGTTTTTATGTGTAGGGAGTGTATGAAATTTATGTGATCAGTGTGCAGGGTTTTTATATGAAGAGCGAAGGGCAGGGGTTTTCTAGAAGGGGCGAGACAAGGGGCTTTGTAGAAAGGGGCAGGGCAGGAGTTTTCTAGAAGTTTCTCACCAGCCCCTTTCTACAAAAGCACTGGTCTTCCCCCTTCTACAAAACTGGAGCATTTATACAAAACCTCTGCCCCGGCCCTCTTCTACAAAACCTCTGCCCTAGCGCTACATCTTTTGAACCCAAATCTTTTTCCTATGCTGTTTCTAAGGATCGGCTCAATGAAGTGATCTGGGTGCCAGGTCCCTCTAATTTTAACCCTGCAGCTGAAAACATAGCAGTTTCAGAGATGTTTCACTGAGGGCTAATCCAGCCTCTAGTGGCTGTCTCACTGAGGGAGCCCGACGCTGGAGAAAGGTAAGTGGCTGAATGGGTTTAAAGGGGTTAAAACCCCTTCAGCTACTTACCTTAATCCAGAGCTGGGCTCCCTCGGCGCTGGTGAACTCTCCTCCCCCGCCGACGTCAGCTCCCGAGTGGAGCCGAATGCACATGCGCAGCAAGAGCCGCGCGCGCATTCAAACTGTCCATAGGAAAGCATTTCTCAATGCTTTCCTATGGACGTTCTGCAAGCTGGATGAAATTTTTGCATCTGGAGGGTTAAAATCTGGGGGACCTGGCACCCAGACCGCTTCATTGAGCTGAAGTGGTCTGGGTGACTATAGTGTCCCTTTAAATACCCTGGGTTGTCTACTTTTACAAATGGTATGCCAAGATGGGAAATATAAGACAGATATCGCACTAGTGAACCCTAGAGCCAAAATAAATTTAGTATTTTTCTGCAGAAAACACCAATATGAAGCGAAATCGACCAAGCGGGTCTCAGCAACGAAAAATTAAGAAGGCAAGAGAAAAGTCAGGAGGCGATGTCTGGATCAATTTTAAAATATGTTGCACCTTCAACATCTACCGCAGTAGGAGAAAGTGCTGAAGACGTTCAGTCTGTTGAATCCAGAGGTGAAATGCCTGAAGTATCTTCTCAAGAAGCTTCATATGTGAAAGCGCAAGAATTGGAGAAGATCATTTTATCTTCAAGCGGTGAAAGTGATGTAGATGAAGGAGATGCCAGCAGAAGCCTGCATCAGCAAGACTCTGATGATGATGAAGAAGAAGAGGAGACTGTTCGACTGTCAGTTTATTCTGATGTTGCTGCTTGGCCAGTTCCAGTTCCAGATGTTTTAAGAGTGGACCTTATTAAGAGGGGAAGTGAACCTTTCCAAAATAGAGATGGGCCATTCAGTCCTGTTGAAAGGCAAGGAGAGAAATCAAAAGGGAAGAGTCAACAGCTGACCACTGCATGGCTCTATAAGGCTCTGCCTAATGGCGAAAAAATTCTTAGAATGTGGATGGTGTACTCTCCATCAAAACAAAGTTTGTTTTGTTTTTGCTGCAGACTTTTTGCTGTTGATGACAAAGTAACAGGGGCATCCAGTTTTGTTACTGGGTTTCAATTGTGGTGGAAGCTGAACACAAAGGTGTCTGATCATGAGGCTTCTGAGCAGCATCTTACATGCTTGGAGAAATGGAAGACCTTGAGAGCAGGAGTGAAGCTACAAAAATGCCTTGATCATGTCCATCAAACAACAGTGGACAGAGAAAAAAGGAAACGGAGGGATATTTTGCATCGCCTTTTGGATGTAACTTTGGTTCTGGCTCACCAGAATCTTCCCTTTCGTGGTCATAGAGAGACCATGTCATCTGCAAACAAAGGCAACTTCCTCGAATTGGTAGAATTGCTCTCAAACTATGATCCCATTTTAAAGGAACATGTATGTACGTAGTGGGGAATCGCGATGGATCCTAGCACAAATCTAAACCCATTTACCCCCCCCCCATAACGAAAGACCACTTAGTATGGATGAACAGGCCACAGCATTTATTATCACAAACTAAATTACTGCATAACACATCCATAACTTTATTTATTAAATCTCTTCTTTCTGTAACCAAAACGTTAGACATAAATAAGCATAAATTAACATACATACATATATAACTCCACCCATAGTGTTATACAGTGACCCAACCGTCCTTGCCAATAAACATACAGTGGTTCCTAATCACCACTTCCTCTCACCTCCCCCCTCGTCATAAAAATCATATATTTCCAATGCCCGCCATCAGCCGACCTTATCCATGCTCGATGGGCACGACACCTCAGGCAACCTAATGTTTAACCTTTTGAAGCAGGGGAGGTTGAGACCTAAAAAAACTTGTTCATCTCATTCCATATACTTAAACGTAACCACTCAAACTCAATTGGCAAGGACATACCCCCGGCTAGCTGTGACGAAATATACCAATAGTACGGGCGGGAGGGAAGCTGTTTGCTGGCCCGAATCCCAAGTGGCACTGAGGTAAGACCTCCCCCACACTAATTTACACAGAACATAATCCCACCCACACACTCTTTTAACCCCTTAAGGACCAAATTTCTGGAATAAAAGGGAATCATGACATGTCACACATGTCATGTATCCTTAAGGGGTTAAACCGATCCCATGCATCTATCCCCACACTCCTACATGTGCCCTTGTCCGCTTAGCTGCGCTATCTCCCCAGGGCCTTTTCATGAGGCTGAAACATGCTGTTGCATCTGGAAAGAGAATGACTTCCTATTTCTCTCCAAAAATTCAGAACGAATTAATTTGTCTTTTGGGAAATCATGTGAAGGCCAAAATAGTGGCTGATATCAAGAAAGCAAAGTACTTTGGGATTCTTTTTGACAGCACCCCTGATGTGTCCCACACTGATCAGATGTGTGAAGTGTTCACATATGTTCATATCGAAGGGGACCATGTTGAAGTAAAGAAATCATTCTTGGGCTTCTTTCCTGTTGCTGAAAAGACTGCTGCTGAGCTCACAGAAAATATCCTGCAACATGTGGAGGAAGATGGACTAGACATAAGCCTTTGCCGTTGTCAAGGATATGATACTGCTGCAACTATGGCAGGGATTCATGGTGGTGTTCATGCAAAAATAAAAGAGATTAATCCCAAGGCTTTGTTTATGCCATGTGCAAACCATTCCCTGAACCTATGTGGGGTGCACTCATTTGGAAGTGTTGCTTCCTGTGTGACCTTTTTTGGAACATTGGAGAGAGTGTATTCCTTTTTTTCGGTTTCTACACATCGTTGGGAATTGCTGATGGAAAATATAGGTGTGACAGTGAAAAGACTTTCCCAAACAAGATGCTGTGAAGCCAGTGAGGGCAAATTTTGAAAAACTGACTTCAGCCCGCCCTTGAAAAATTGTGTAATCCCAAAGAAAATATGGACACAAGAGGAACGGCTCAGATGTTGCTGTCTGCCGTATGTGATTTTTCTTTTTTGTGTTACCTTTCTTTCTGGTGTGAAGTTCTAGAAGAAGTTAATATCACACAGAAATATTTGCAAACTGTGGGACTCACTCTTGAAAAGTGCATTGTGAAACTACAAGGTTTGAAAGCGTTTCTAGCAGATCAGCGCAGTGAAATTGTGGAGAAGGCCATTTGTTATGCAACTACTACGTGTAAAGAAATGGACATTTCAATGGAAAGAAGAGGGAGAGTAAAGCTCCATAAAACAATGCCAGGAGAGAAGGCAAAGGACGCTGGTCTCACATTGCCAGAGGAAATGAAAAGGGCTATGTTTGAGTGCCTTGATCGTTTTCATCACGAGTTGGAAATTCGTTCCCAGGCAATTAAAAAAAAAACTTTCAATGTTTGCTGTTATTCAGCCAACTCTCTTTTTGTGTCAACAGAGAAAAATATTCGTAATTATACTCCAAAATTGACTGAGATTTTTTACGAATTCTCTAATGAAGACATCTTTAGGGAAACTGAATGTCTTCGGAGGCATTCGGAAGCTGCCAAAATCAGTGTTGAAGAAGCAAAGAAATGGACGGCATTGCATTTCCTGGAGTTCATTGTTAAGTGGGATTATTGTGAATCTCTGCCAAATTTGTCACTGTGTTTAAGATTCTTTTTGACTCTCTGTGTGTCTATTGCTTCATGTGAAAGAAGTTTTTCCAAATTAAAATTGATAAAAAAATTATTTCACTCAACCATGAGTGAGACAAGGTTGACAAATCTGGCTGTACTTTCAATTGAGCATGAATATGCAAGGAAGATTGGCTTTGATGAAGTAATATACATTTTGCAGAAATGAAGGCTCGAAGGCAGCGGATGTGAATCATTGCAAATTACCTCTGCCGAATAGACTGAGTGGTCACTTTGGATCTGTGTGTTTTTGTTTATAGAAAGCGTATTAGCTGTTATGTAAATGTTAATTATTAAAATTTTATTTATTTCTAAGTTAATTTATTTTTCATAGTTCCATTTTTTTCAAGTTGATATGTGTAACGGAACCGCTGGCACCCCGACCGGGTACCTTCCGCCGACGGATGCTCCTAGTGCTTTCCGAGGACTCCAAGCACTCTGCCTGACACCATAACCACTGCAAACCCCACGAACCGCCGCAGCTTGGTTGGGGTCTCGCCGTCTCCACCCACTCTGGACCCAGGACCAGGGTCCAGCTTCCAGCAGGTCGACCTCTCTCCGAATTCCAGAGAGCAGGAACAGGAACAAGCTCTTAGCAGAGCTTAGTGATTATACCCTGGGGAGTATAGTGATTATAGCAATCCCCAGAGTGTAGTTTCTCCAATCCCCCAAACATGAGCCGAAACTTCATGAAGGTACAAGATGATCTGACTCCAATGAGCGTTTATTACTCCTTATATAAAAGTTTTCAGGTCAGAGGCACACCCCCTGGACCTGGTGGTAAACTGTGACAAAAGGGACACAAACCAATGGGAACACTAATTAACATGATAACACTCTCACATACACAATGAAATCCCTCCTCTCCATCCTGGAGATAATTGGCTTAAGGCACTGCAGTAAACTCAATTATCTCCAGGTACAGAAAATATCTACATTTAACACTAACAGCAAAATACGTAAAAGTACATAAAAATACATAATTCTTATTTTATTACACAGAACCCCCACATTTAACCTATCCCCAGATAGCTCGGATCTGAGCGCCCAATCTAGGTGAACAATAGACAGGAAACGGGGGAGGGGAAGAGAACACACCTTCCCATGGATTCCAATGGGAAGAAACTGTCTTTAGAAGCCAATAAGCCCCAAATAGTCTTTTTTAAATGGCAATACACCCCAGGGCCATAGTCATGAGGAAGGAGGCTGGCAATCAGGCTCCTCCAAAAGCCGGGGGCAAAGGGCAGCTTGTCACCTAACAATCCAGGGACAAAAGGCATTTCGTCACAATATGCAGTTTACAAATTTGTGAAATAAATATTATTGAAAACATTGAAAAAACTTTAGGTGTTTTCTTACATTTTTTTAGGGGGGTGGGGGGGTGCCACACTCAGGGTCCGCCCCGGGTGGGTGCCAAATGCTCTAGGTACGCCCCTGATTCTCACAGACTTTATTAGGAAGGAATCAATACGTATATGTGGAATACAAGAGACCCACTGGCTAGTCAAGAGAAAGATAGATTTAGTTCAAAGGAATTTCCGTTTATTTTTAAATCTTCTATGCTTAAAAAGAAAAAAAGAGGGTGTAACGGCTACCCAGGTAGTAGGAGGGTATCAGCCTTTGTAGATGTCCTTTTCTTCCTGGCAAGTCACTGTGTAGTGGTGGAGTTGCTTATTCCCATTCACTGGATCCAAGGCAAGAGTCAGGCAGAGCTCTTAAAAGAGCTAGATGATTAAGCTGCATATCCCCTTTCAAGAACGAGACAAGGCTACGTTTTGAAGGGTCAAGAAGAACTGCATTTTAATGGCAGGTACTCTCCTTTTATGTGATTTTGCCCATGCAAGGGAGACACCCACATAATTAACACAACAACCAATAAAACATAAGGTACATCCCACACATCTCCTCCCCTCAGATAAGCCTGTAACACAATTAACAAAGTTAAATTTTTCCCCAAGTTTTGGATGTATCTCAAATATCTGGGGTACATTCATAAATCCAGTGTCCCCAGATAGCCCTATTCTGGTGGAACAATGTTTTCAAAAAGCATCTCATTCGGTTCAGGGGTTCAGGAGATATGGCACTTTAATGTTTTGACCGACTGCACAGGCATAAGTGCCGAAAACAGTTCCATAAGTTTTGGCCTTGCGGTCGGTCCTTGTTCGTGGGTAAAAAAGTCCCGGAAGGCTTGCCATCCGTGCATATCTTGATGTTCGCTAGAATCCCCATATGTTAAGTAGTCTTCCTACCGAACGGCAGTGCGTTCGGTAGTTTTGGCACGGATTTCTGGTAGTCTGGAGGTTTCAGTGGTGTTCGCCTACTCGAGTGTCCGATTTCAGTTCCAGACACTCGATGGCAAAACACCGCTGTTCGGGAGTTAAGATGGCCGTGGCCACGTGTAAAAAGTACCGAAATGGTGGCCACCCAGGGACTTCAATAAAGCAGTCGTGTGCTTGCAATTACACATGTATTCGCCGATCAGGGAGGTAAATTGCAGCACAATGATGTATCAGGGGGGTCCGGTGTTCGGTAGTTTGCATTCTTATGATGAATGCAGTGTTCATACCGTGTTATTGCACGAATGCTTTAAAAGTCCCGAAAAGCCTTGTAGAAACCCTCCCGAAGGCAACAACCAAAACCTCCAGCATGTAAACGGCCTGATGTCCTCTAAGTCAGGAAAATATATGTACTTTTAATCCAAGGTCTCTGGTTTAGTCTGTGTCCCTGGCTAGTTCTAAAAGGGCCAGTAACAGGGAACATTCCCAGGCACATGGCAGGGTTTTGTTACAGAGGGGTAGCAATTATAATATCTTCAAAAGTAGCTTACAAACTGATTTATCAGGACTCAGATACCGAAGGAAGAGTCATTATAATAATATGTGAGATGAATAATCAGCTATACACTATTGTAAACTTATATGCACCAAATAAAGCCCCCATAAGGTTCTTTAAAAAACTTGTGGACAACATTGATAAAATCAAACAGGGTGAAATAATATATTTGTGAGATTTCAATTGTTTATTGGACCCTACTATGGATAGAAGTAATAAGTAATAAGGAGAATAAAGGATATTTAAAACAATCCTCCCTAAGATTTAATGAGATTATCAAAAAGGCAGGCCTTATGGATATTTGGCGCATATGGCATTCTATGGAAAAGGATTATACGTGTTTTTCCTATCCACATCAAGTCTATTCAAGAATAGATTATATATTGACAGAGATAAATACTGCCAGAATGGTTAAAAAGATTTTAATTACCAATATTCCATGGTCAGATCACAATGCATTAATTTTGGTTATTGAAGATATTTTTGTCAAAGCTAGATCTAATTGGAGACTGAATGAACATCTATTAAAAAACAATCAAAATGTGGATATAATACAAAAAGCTATAGATGATTACTTTAGAGAAAATAAAAATTCTCTGGTGTGCATTTAAATGCACAATTAGGGGATATTCCATAAAATTGGGTTCAGAGAAGAAAAGAAACTCACAAAATTTAGCACATTTATTTATCGAATATGAACTGCTGGAAAAACAGAATAAGAACAGTCCTTCGATTAAAAGTAGTGAAGAATTAAAAGAAATAAGAGAGACAATTAACAATATCTTGATCTATAAATCTAATCTAGCCTTAGAACATTTAAAAAGAACTTGGTATTATAAAGGGAATAAGGCAGATAAATTACTAACAAATAGATTAAAAAAAGAAAAAACTAAAAAAAATTATTTCTAAAATAAGAATAGGAGAAGAAGTAATCCTGTCACAGATAACATCGGTAAAGCTTTTCAGGAGTATTATTCAGGCTTATATAATCTACCAGAGAGAAAAGGTACTTATAAGATGTCTGAATTTTTTTCTTAACTTAAACTCCCAGGTATAACAGAGGGTCAGTTGACACTATTAAATGAACCTATCTCACAAATTGAAGTAGAAGTAGCGTTTAAAAAATTAAAAGCAAAGAAGGCTCCAGGGCTGGATGGGTTCAGTAATTGTTTCTATAGAATCTTTAAGGGAAATATCATAGATCTGCTTACTAATTTGTTTAATTACTTTATGATACATGGAAATATCCCCAGAGAAATGTTAAAGGCTCACATAGTCCCTATCCCAAAGCCAGATAAAAATCCGGAACTAGTAACAAATTATAGATCCATTTCACTGCTAAATAGTGATATTAAAATATATTCCTCTGTGTTAGCAGATAGGATTGCTAATATAATACCAACGATTTTTC